CCCCAAAACCCCAAAACCCCAAAACCCCAAAACCCCAAAACCCCAACTGACTAATACTGTATTGAAAGTATTATGATATGCTGTTGTTGCGTTCTTGTTTTAACTTTTTGTGCCTGAGGTCTCTGTAGCGTTTGGTTAAGATATTCCTCTGTTTAAAATTCTTATTCAAACCATCATACACTTTCCTTACATCCTTAAATTCATTTATCCTCACATTCACCTGCTCTTGCTTACACTTCTTCACACTAAAACAACATTAACCCCCACACATACTCCAAAAATACCCAATCCTGCCCCTTCAAATCCTCTATCCCCCTACCACCCCTAAATCCCCCAAAACTCTTACTCCCCAATCCCAATTCTTCAGTACAAAATTAACCCTAAACCTGTTATTTAACAAAATTCTTATTAAAAGTAGACTCCAAGTTCAGTATTTGAGATTTTATGAAGAACGATTTATTAATTAGTAATTTTTATACAGACGTTTTTAAAAATAAGTTTTGGGATAGAAGAAGTTGGTGTAGAGGGGGGAGATAGAGGGGAATTGGAGAAATGGAGGAAGGGGAGAAGAAGAGAGGTTTGATAAGTGGGAAACTGGGTTTTATTTGATTGGGATTGGAAGGAATCCACTTTTTGTAGAGGTTATAAGGGGTGATATATAATTATTAGCGCTCACCCAGAATTTGTTTGGTGGCCATATAACGAGTAGGTAGATAAAGGGATTGGTTACTTACCTCTCACAGACTGGGTCTTGTAGTGTAAAGTCTCTCACGTTTGTCTTCAAAATAGTTGAAAAATTAGGAAGCCCATCTGAGCTTTCGGTACTTTTCACATTTGAAAGATGAAGTATTCCTTTTTCTTTTGAAATTTTGCGAGCATTTTTGGATAGTATTGGGGACAAGCATTTAAAAGAATGCTGAGTCGAGGGAGGGGATAAGACTACTTTCCGCTTCCCATTATTCATAGACTGTCGTATTCTGTTTCTATTGAAAGTACTTGTTGAGCCAGCAAAGATTCTTTTTGATCCGATATTTCTTCAATGAACTCTATGAAATTTTCCTATTTTCAGATTCTTATGTATCTCCTCATGAGTGTCACTATATTATAAGCCAAGAGTCCTTACATCAACTTTGAGATTCTTTCTGACTGATTCTCAATAATTGAAGAGTCTGGCTTCCTGAAATAATTCTTTACTTCAATACCCAAAGTTTTCATCTTAGTTGGTGGGACCAGCGAATTTTTCTTATTATATTTCTTCTTCCCTTTCATATTGAATAAATAATTTTTACTGCTCTTCCTTTCTTTAGCTTCAGTATTTTTCTTAAACACTTTTTGGACTTTGAGATCAAGATTATTGCAGTCATTCACAGAAACATTCTCTTCAGTAATATTGTTCATAGAGGGCTCTGGGCTTTTCTCTTTAGAAAACTTTGATTTAGTCAGGCTAGAATCTGGTTGCAAGCTACTCTTTTTCCCACTAGAGTCTCTACTTGAAGCAACAGATCTCCGTTTTAACCCTTTATAATATTTATAGTGTCGACGCATCTTGCCAGGTGATCTCTTCCTTTTTGCAGGCGGCAAAACTCCAATATTCAGTACATCCTTACTGCTCTTAGTTAGCTGTAAACTAGATGAGGACAATTCTTGCGGAAATAGAAAAATATCTAATCTAAAAACGGTGTATACCTTAAAGAATTTTTTCCATATGCCATTCACATTGAATTTGTCATATCTAAATTTTAAGGCAAATCCTATACAATTTCTTGTTGGCGTTATATCAGACCTCTCTGAATTGGTCCTTGTTCTGCTGAAATATGAAATCTTTTACAAAAGCCCATTTATTATCAAGTTTTCCTATACTTTCAAGAGCTTTTGCGGCATTTTTCTCTCTTTCGTCAAAAGTCATGTGGTTTCTCACCGTCACAGAATGGTTATAGGGGTGAATGAAGAGGTTAAGTTTCTCCTCGAGAAGGTCTTCCTTTTGTTCGAAGCGGATCATAGATCCTCTAGCAATCTTGTTGAATTTCTTCCTTGTTCTAGATCTCAAATACTTCTTGCCAGTAGACAGCGGGATAGGTCTGAGTAAATTTGAACTGTCAATAGCAGAGTTTCTCCCTACTGATAAATTTCTCCCACGAATGTATCTAAACAAAGCAGGAAATGTCAGCTTTGCTCTCTTGGTGCTTTCTTTACTCAGTATACTTTTTGTACTTCTTTTTGAAGTGAGTTCAGGTAGTTCCATTTTTAAAGAATATGACTTAATAAAATTGAGTTCTATATTAATTTGCCTTTTAGGGGTTTTGGGGTTTTGGGGTTTTGGGGTTTTGGGG